GTTTGACAGAGTATAACTCTGAGTGATAATGAGATTCTATGAATGAAATAACCACCACGAACAGGACATGGGTGTTCTAAATACCCCCTGACTGAAAGAACAACAAAAAACAGTAATGAACAATTTCTCCCCAAAGTCAAAGTCAGCCTTTCTCCTGATCCCGGCACAGACTCTTCTCTCTGTGTGGAACAGCCTCTCCCCAGTCTCCTCCTTCATGGGCCTCAGCCTTGCCCTGCCCCCACTCTGTGGGTCACAGCCACAGGCATTATTCAGGATGCAGCAGGAGAGTTCCCCATCGGAATCATTTCCAAATTCCCCAGAGTGGTTATTCAGTTCTCCCTCTCTGCCCCAGACTGCCTGGTACCTCTCTCCTCTCCAGTGACTACAGTATCTGTTTGCAGGGAGCTGAAGACAGGGCCTCTCTGTGACAGCATGCTGCCTAGCATAGGTCACCCACAGATGTCTGTTCCATACATGAATCACAGAAGAAATGCAATGGACTCTCCAACGGGCCTGTGTGTGATGAATCCTTTTCAGCAAGAAATATTTTTCAGCTTGATAAAATATTTGTACCCATCATGTCCATTATTAGTACAAAAATAAGACTACCAAGTTTAACCAAGTTTAACTCTGACAAAAGCCTGCTTACCTATAGTTACTCTTCCAAATCACATAGAAACTCAGAGGAAATACAGGTCTTTCAAGTAAAACAAATACACTTCCAGTGTACTTGGACTGACACAAAGAACTGAAAGGAAATAAAGTACACAAAATCACAAACACTACCTCCTAGGCAATCCATTCCTTCGTTTCACAACTGTGACCACCACAAAATGAATAGTGAGTACGTAGTGCACTGAAATCAAGTGGGGATGACTTGCTGGGACACAGGGTGTCACTGGAGAGTCAGGAAGAAGTGGTACTGGTGTGGTGGTAGTTTCAGTGCAGACTGACTGACTCAGAGCCCACCAGGTTCTGCCAATATTCCAGAAGCTTTAGGAAGGAAACCAAGGGTCCTGCTGGCTCAACCCAAGAAGATCCCAACAGTGGGCCTCTAGGTTTCCCAGGCCACAGGAGCAGGTGGGGCCCATCCTCCTAAGGAAAATGTCAATCGTTTCTTCTCTTATCAGCAATTCCCAGTCTGCTGCAGCTATGCGCAGGAATCAGGAAACAAGTGCCAGCTGCAGAGAGGAGATAGCATTTGCTCTGCTGGTGTTTCCAACCTGCCGTCAGGACTGCCTCCTTCATCCATTGCTTCCTAGGGTTCATCCCACCATTCATGCAGGCACTTGAGTGCCCTCCCTGGCCAGCTGTGTGAGAGAGACAATGGTGAAAGGGAAGAAATCTGTGCTGTCAAAGCCCTTCATGTGTTCTCCCTGTTTATGACTGTCCACCCTCACTACACACGCTAAAGGTTTCTGTTTGATGGGATGCTGAACACAACACAGGAGGGACATGCAACCGTGAGAAAAAAGCTAATAGTCCAAGGAAAGAAAGTAAAAGCAAAATTAGCACGGAAGTCTTAAAAGATATTTTTAGGTTTGCTTTTTGAGTGTTTAAAATATTTGGCTGAGTACAAGCTCTCAAAAGTCCTTCAAGTAGACAAGGAGATGACTCGGTAGTGATCCCCAGACCATTAAAACAATAGTAAAACACCGTGTTCATGCTTCAGTGGAACAAAGACTAAAGGGTTGATGGGCTGAAGAAGCACCAATAACGATAAGGAGTAAAGGGTCATACGTGCTGCCGAAGGGGAGTAGAAATCAGTGCAGTCTTGGGTGGACAATGGTGTAATTATGTCGAAATTCAAGAAATTCTATGAAGCTTTTTTTTTTTTTTAAAGACAGACAGACTGTCCCTATAGTCCCTCACTATGGAACTCACTATGTAGACCAGGCTGGTCTCAAACTCACAGAGATCTGCCTGCCTGGAATTAAAGATGTGCCATACTGGAATCAAATTCTATGGAGCTTTTATTCAATGTCCAGAATAATTACACACATATTCAGGATTATATACACACAAAAATATTCATTGAGGAATGAGATTTTTATAGTGAAAAGTAGAAACAAATGACTTATCTAGCAACAGATAAATAAAAGGTGATACAATCGTAACGTGGCCTGATTTGTTAGTCAGCTTTCAATAAATAGCAGAGAAAAGTTAACTTATGAAGAATGAAGGTTTTCCTTTCTGTGCTTCATTGACGTTGCTTTTGGGTCTGTAGCAAAGCAGTGCGTTGTGGTGCAAGGAATGAGTAGTAGAGGAGTTTTCTCACTCATAGAAGCTGAGAAGACAGAGGAAAAGGAGAGGCTAGGGTGCCAAAATCTCCTTCACAGGCACACCCAGTGCTCTGACTTCTTTCCACCAGGCTCTACCTCCTAAACATTCCATCATCTCCCAATAGTTTCACAGACTAGAGACTAAACCTTCAGACCCAAACAAGTATCTAATATACTGCAGTTAAAGGGATAAACTATACTATAAGCATTGGTGAATCTCAAATACAATGAATGGACAAAATAAGAAGAAGAATAGTATCTAAGTACCAAATACCAACTGCCACTTCAGAAATAAATTATATAGTGTGTACGCATGTTTGTGTGTGTGTGTGTGTGTGTGTGTGTGTGTGTGTGTGTGTAAAAGGGTTGGTTCCCAAAGAGAAGTGATTCTTCCTTCTCCCTGAGGGACATATGATAATGTCTGAAGACATTTTTCTTCCTCACAACTGGGGTGTTGGTGCAAACCAATGCACATTGGCCAGCTATATTTGACGATTAGCCTATGATGCAAACAACCGTTCTCCACTGAGGCGGCTAACTTTAAATGTCAACTTGGCTGAACTGAGAGATGCCCTAAGAGGTTAGTAAAGTACGCTTTTGGGGTATCAGTGAGGGAGTTACCAAAGGCAAGTGGCCTATGGGACAGCCTTGGGGGAAGACTCACCCTGAATTGGGGTCTTATCATCCTACTGGCTGGAGGCACAGCAGAATAAACATGGAAGTAGGGGGCCAGCTCTACCCACTGTGGCTCTACGCTGCTACAGCCAAAAAACAATGGTGTCACCAACCCACACACTGAAACCTCTAACAGGAGCCAAAATATCTGCTTCTTAAGTTGTTTTTCTCGTTATTGCCCACCAAAAATGAATTATCTGGACCAAAATATAAACAACACTGAAGTTGAGAAACCCTGCTCTAGAACTCTGAAATAAAATTGTTTTTCACAATTTAAACAATTTCCTGGCACAAACCTAGCTTTCCAGGCAGATATTTACCTCACACAAGCAACCAGCTGGAGTACAGGCATTCATGTGGTCCAGTCCCAAAGCACCACAGGCGGTGTCTCCTCTTCCTTTCAAGAAGAACCACACTGGCTTCTGATGTACACTGCATTCCCTCTGAGCCCCAGTGATTAAAGTGTACCTGAAATCCTCAACATCTCTTTTTGTTTCTAGCATGAGTGTAAATGACTTTCACACTGTAACAATCACAATGGCGCCTTCACAATCCCAATGGTGTCTCTCTTGCTCCCAGCTCATTCATGCCCCCTCATTTTTCTAGATTTTAATAGCATTATCGTTTGCTAGTTAGAGAATACAAATTGCTATTTCTTCTGAGAAATTATTTGCACATTATGTTTTGGTAAATTGAATCATGTTTTAAATGAACTAAAGTAGGTCATTCCTTAAAGGAATTTGCTAATGAACCTTGTGTGAAATTTCCTCTCACATAATAATCTCAGCCTAATCTATATGCTGCATTAACACTAATGACTATACTTCTGGTTCTGTAGAAAATATACCCAGGTTACAATTTCCTTGAAGAAACTGTAGGAAGAAAGGTTCCTGTTTCACAGTTGTGTGAACTCATTCTGGCCACCTGAGACGAAATTAATAAACACCAGAAGTCAAAAGAAAAAAACTCAATACATCAATAGTCCTCTATTGATGATGACAAGACCAAACTAGATTAGTTATTCCCAGGATAAGTTTTTAAAAACGTGCTAAGCTGGTATTCACCAGAGATTATGGCTAGGGTAGGGCTAGGTGTAGGGATTTAAATGGAGGTTGTTCCAGGGAGTTTCTTTGTAGCCTGAAACAATTCAGATTCTTGATTAGTTGATAATTAACAAGAACTCCCAAGCAATAAATTTTCATTGAACCATAGACAAATATAGAATTAATGTTGCTAAAAATGGGTGAAACACTAATAAAGTTCCTAATTTGATTAATTATATTGTGAAAATGTCCATTTCCTGGTTTCAACCATGCTATATAAAATGTCATCATTGTGGAAATTGTCTCATATGTATATGGTATATGCACATGCATATATGTGTGTGTGCATGTGTGTGTGTATGTTCACATAAAAATGTGCATGAAAATGTTTACAGCAACCATATTCATAATTGTCAGGGAATGGAGAGGAATCCCCAAATGCAGGGAGTTTCTAAGGTGCATGAACTCCCAGCTATGAGAGTGAATCTTCCAGAAAGACCTTGATGGGTTCCCCTGGCCAACTCCACGTGAGCTCAGACAAGGCCCATACAGTCCTGCCCAAAATTAGTTGCATAAGCAAAATCAAACCATTATTGCTGGGCCTGGTGGCTGATGCCTAGTAACCCAAGCACTTAGGAAGTAGAGGATCAGGAAATCAAGGTCATCCTCAGCTACAGAGTAATTATGAGGCCAGCCTGGGTTACATGAGGCCTTGTCTCAAAACATAAACAGGTAAGAAATTAATAAACAAACAAACAAGCCACTGAGTTTTAAGATTGTTTTCACACACCAATAAATAACCAGTTTTAAGTCACTGAGGATAATAGATAAAACAATGTACATAAATCAGTGTACCCTAGTTCTCTACCAAGGATAGCTCTAGAGACGGTATTCATGGAGCTCAGCATTAGTCCAATGTGACCTCACAACCAGCAGGTTTCAGGGAACTATCTTGATCTACTTATTAATTTTCACTTATAAATGCCAAGCTGGTACTCACCAGAGATTATGGTTGGGGTGGGGCCAGGGGTAGGTGTAGGGGTATGTCCAGGGAGTTTCTTTGTAGCCTGAAACAATTCAGAATCTTGATTAGGGTGACAACAAGAACTTCCAAGCAATACATTTTCATTGAACCATAAACACTCAAATATAGAATTAATTTTGCCAAAAATGGGTGAAACCATTAACATTATTTTTCACTTCTAAAAAATCACGTGTTGACATGTCCTGGAGTTGCTTTCTGCTGGGTTACACTGGTTCATGCCGGGTTCTGCAGCCTCTGCAGAAGCAAAGTCTTACTCAGACTTTCAGAGTCCTGGCCAGATGTTTCAAACAGGACCTAAATTTTGCAGATTATGCTACAAAAATCACACCCACTGCTGTTATGTCATTAAAAAATACTTAGGTTGCCAGGCTCAGAGGCATATGACACATGCCTTTGATTCTAGCACTCAGGAGGCAGGGGTAGCTAGATCTCTTATGAGTTTGCATTTGAAGAGGACAACCTAGTCTACATAGAGTTCCAGAGCTCCATAGTGAGACACTGTCTCAACAACAATAACAACAACAGCTTATGTGGTAAAAAATGCACAACACATAATTTAGAGTTATAACCATTTTCAAGGACTTGGTTTAGTCATGTTAACTGTGTGTGCACTGTTGTGCAAAAGATCTCTAGAACTTTTCAATCTTACAGGAGCAAAACTCTGCCTATTGACAAATTTTCATTGCCTCTACCCTGGCCCTGGCAACCAACATTCGATTTTGTATCCAAAGAGTTCACTACTATAGGCTCTCCAAATGAGTCTAACACAATATTTGTAGTTATGTGACTGACTTATATCACTCAAAGTAATGTTCTCCAGGTTCACCTGCGTTGTAGCATATGATGAGATTGCCTTGATTGCCTTCTTTTTAAGGCTAATATTCCACTGTGTACATGCCATGATCTCTTTATCCATTCACCTATCAATGTACATTTAAATTGATTCTTTATCTTTGCTATTGTGAATAATGCTACAATGAACGTAGGAAGTGAGGCTCGGCTATCATTTTTCCTCCTGTTTCCCACCAGTAGAAGAGTCTCTGAAATACACTGGAGGTGGAGGCAGCATCTTAGGTTCATGACCATCTTGTTTCCATTGTGCCTTGGAAAACGATACAGAATCAATTAGCCAAACTGCCTGAATTCCTTCTAGGGTGCAACTTCTCTCTGATCTAGCATACCTGGATTGTGTTAGTTTTAAGCCTGTACCTGTAGGTTCCGTGGCACTTTCAGAGGAGCTTTGTGGACACTACTTTACTTTCCCATGCTGCACTATGGCTGTTTCTTCAATACAGGGAATGTAAGGACATAGACAGGACATGGACGCCACCCCAAATGCAGCTGTCTATAATTAATGACCATTCACAGCTCTTTACCCAAAGGAACAGATGGGACACAATGTTTTCAGTTAATAAACACTTATAAATTAACGGATTTCATTTCTTAGAGCAGTTTTGGATTTACAGGGAAATTGAGCACCGAGCTTCCAGGTCCTCTCCCATGGTCTTCCTCTTACTAACATCTCATGTTTCTATGGCAAGTTGCTCAGAATTGATGAACACTGTCAATCATTAAGTACAGTCCAAAGCTCACAGTGAAGTTTGTCTTGTACAGTTCTAGGTGTCTGGACCAATGCGTGTCTGACTACCCTCTGGTGAAGATCAGTTTACCATCTGAATTTCCCAGAACTACAGCAGTTGAGTGGCAAATAAATTGAAAGCTAAATTTCTGCCCCTGTAGGCAAGTATCTTTTCTCCTCTAAAGTATGAAATCTTTCAAAAAAAGGGCTCAAGTCATTAAAACCTGGTACCCACTTGAAATAGCATCTGGTTTCTTAAACTCAATAGTTCAATAAATGTTTATTATTATTTGTATCTATCTCCCCAATCCCATACCACACTATGAAATACTAAAAGGCAAGGACAAGGGAGCTGAAGGCCTGGGTTCCAGAAACATCCTTGCCCTAGTCCCACTGATCCATCAACACACACAGCCCTTCAAGTGGGGTGTCAGTAAGTGATTTGGCCAGAAAATACATATATTACATCAAGTAAACATGTAAACAATAGTCTGAGTTGTAAATCACTTTTTTTCATTCAGACAAACAGAAACTACTACAATCAAAGGCACAAGATTCCACTATTGGTCCTACTGTCCCAGGCCCAAGAGAAGGTGATCTGACATATGTTGGTGGAAAAGCAAAAACCAATGGGTCAGATGTCAAGAGAAACCCTAAAGACAAGCAAAGAAGGCATGAGGGAGAAGAGCTTTCAGTCGAATGAACCAGAAGATGCTCTTTCTGAGCCTAGTAACCTACCCTGTCACTTGCTACCCTCCACTTGGATCCCAACGTCAGAGCTCAGACAAAAAGGATGTGGCCCATGCCTGTGCTCTGAGAAGAAAGAGTTGACTCTCAGTCCCACTTGTCCATTTTCATAACAGAACTACGGAAGCCGGAACCGGAAGTGGGGAGAGGTAGCACAGCCTTTGCTGGCTGACTCTCAGTCCCACTTGTCCATTTTCATAACAGAACTACGGAAGCCGGAACTGGAAGTTCAGAAAACTGTTTTAAGAAATAATTACAGGGATACAGAAACTAACTCTACTTCACTAATATTCTAAGTGGGAAATCCAACAGGTGGATTGAATTGTAAATGGATGAATACCCTTTTCCCAGCACACCTTTATAAATACGCTTTCTTTTCCTTTACCACCAGCCACCAGTTTTCTCTGGGTTTTTCATATACACCACAACACTCCTTATTTAAAAAGAAATCACTGCAGGAAGCTCTGCACTCTTTCTTTTTCAGGAACGAGTGGGTACAGTGGATCACTGCAGTGATTAAAGTGGAAAGTGATTGTGGAGAAAAGTTCTTTAAATAAAGTTTATTAAGAATGTTAAATGAGAGAAAAGCAAAATGTACTCTGTTGGATCAATTTCTCTATTGTATTTTAGGATCTCTTTTTATACATAAACTTCAGAAATGGTTTTATTTGGGGGGACTCATCAGAAATATATTACCACATTGAAAGAATTGATATTCATAAAATGAATAAGCATATTTTCCTTATCTAGTTAATAAAAGTTTCCTGTTCCTTCTGATAACTGTGAAAGATACTTATGTAAAAGACGCCCTTCTACATGTCTCAGAACACCACCTTCCACTCCAGCACACACAACCATGCTGGTGTGAGACAGTCACAGCCTGCTGGGATGCAGCTGAGAATGGGGGCGCATGCCTTTCTCTGTGGCAACCCATGGCCCTGTGATTCAGTCTTTAAAACAGTCGTGAGCCGCATATTGAAGTTTCAGTCAATGACGGATCCCTTATGTGACGTTTTAAGATTAGAGATAAAAAGCTCCTGTCACCCAGGGATTTTTGCTGTCATCACAGAGCACTGTGTGACCTGCCTGTCTGCAGTGATGCTGCTGTAGACAAACTTACTGTACTGCAGTGGTGTGAATGCATAGTGCACACACATAACACTGATGATAACCAGCACATTGCTGGATTATCTGTTTACTACACTATGCTGTTTAATCCTTAGCCTGCACTCCCTCTACTATGAAAAGAAACCTACACAGTTTACTCTAAGACAGCATTCTCTGTTATACAAGCCAGCTGCAGTCTCATACTTCCTATACTTATTGCATGCTTCTCTCTCTTTCTCTCTTTCTTTCTCTCTCTCTCTCTCTCTCTCTCTCTTTCTCTCTCTTCCTCCCCCCTTCTCCTTCTTTTGAGACAGGGTCTCACAATTTAACTTTGGCTGCCCTAGAACCCAGTATGTAGAGCAGGTTAACCTCAAACTCACAGAGATTCACCTGCCTCTGCCACTTAAGTGCTGGTATTAAAGGCATGTGTCACCAAACCTCCTCTCTCCCTCTCTGTCTCTCTCTCTCTCACACTGTCTCTCTCTGTGTCTCTGTCTCTCTCTGTGTCTCTGTCTCTCTCTGTCTCTCTGTCTTTCTCTCTCTCTCTCTCTCTCTCTCTCTCTCTCTCTCTCTCTCTCATAAGGTCTCACTATATAGCTCAGGCTTTCCTTAAACTCACAATCCTCCTGTCTCACAGCCTTACAAGTACTAGGATTAGAGACCTGTACCACCATGCCCAAGTTATTGCCTCTCTTGATTGCATCAGCGTACCACTTGAATTAACTGGCCTACATCATCTATATTCACACAGGAACATGTTATGATATTCATTCAATGACATAGTCGCCTGAGCCTCACACATCAGAACTTGTCTCTGTTGTAAAATGTTTTTAACATGTCACCACAGAGGAAAACATAAAAAATATGTTTTTAATGTGTATACCACAGAGGAAAATACTTGGTTGAAATTAAAACCCCCTCATTTGTCTCAACTGCTTCTGCTAATAAAAGAAACATTATACGCATCATTCAAGGTTGTAGTTCAATGTAGTACTTAAATTACAGGAAATAACTATTATGATGAGTCTATATTTTGCAAAACTATGTAAAAACCTTGAACATGGATGAGTTCTTCAAAAAAGCAAACTGAATTCCCAATAAAAATCCCAGGAAGGGACGGGATAGATGGATCCAATGAGTGGCTTCCTAGCAGCTCTTGGGGCTACAGGTGTTTGTGGAGCTTCCCCTGGGCACTGCCCCTCTGCCTGGACCTCCCTCAGCCACGAACTGTTGCTTTCCCTAGCTTTAGTTGCTAAATATCCTTTTAACAGTCAGTCTTTTAAAAAGAAGTGGTTTAGTAGATGAAGACATGAACTAATTATGAATAAACATGAAGAAACAACAACTTGAAGAAAAAAGGATGCACTTATTGTTTTAACCTCTGCCTCATTGTTTCAAAAATAGTTTTGATTTTACTAGATGTGTCTTCATTCTTTGAAACTTTTCCCTTTAAAAGGTGAGTCCTAATCCCATTTAAACCTATACCTTAGCAACTGCTGCAGTTTGAATCTTAAACGACCACCCCCAAAGGTCCATGCACAAAAGTCTTGGCCCCCAACCCATGGCACCATGGAAGGTGATGGAATCTT